TACGCAACTAAGTTATTTTTATTATTGTTGGGACACTAACCCGGGCTATTGGGTCTGTGAATATTTCAATATTACCGACTTGATAATGCGTTGCATTCGTAATTATTACGCAAATATAAACATGGGCGCATTTAAATCATTGAAAAAGATAGTCAGGTCCCGGAGTCAGGTGTCTAACGAAAGTCGAGAAAATATTTTAAATACTTGTGACTCATCGGTGAATTATTTTATTCGAAATAAAGTGAATATGTAATATTAACCATACAATAACATACAATATCATGCGTAATGTTAAATTGTTATATAATAAACTCGCAGCGCACTTCGATCGCATTATTCGCGTACATTTCAACTGAACTCTAATAACCACGTGTTTGAATTACGTGCGGCAATGGGCAATGATCTAAATGAGTTCACGCACTGACATTTAAATTCGGACCACCCAGTTTGACGCAAAACTATATAGTTACTTAACATTTGTTCAAAAAATAGGTAAACTCTCGCGAAGAGTTAAACTGAAAGGCAACGTCGTTTTTGACCAAAAAAAAACAACACGTCAATACAAGATTACTAGTGCGAGGTTAGATTTATAGAACGTACATGACCGCTTAACTCTGTTTTTTTTTAATAATCCTGTCGCACGTGAAACACAGGAGACATTTTAGTTCGTCCATTTCTTGTTTACCAATCTTGAACATTTTGTCTGGAATGCGATACAGGCAAAGAATAAACATTAATGATACCTACCGTTGTCAAATCAACAAGAGACTTGAATCAGGAAGGCTCGGCTATTTAAAACTTCGTAAATAACATTCTTTTCATGTGGTAGACTTTATTCAAGTGTAAAAAACGTAAGAGAAATGAATGGACGACTCATAATACTCGTACCTTCGAAAGTTACGACTTTTACTCTTGGAATAAATACATGCATAAAATACAACATTGTTTCACGCAACAACAATTCGTATACAGCATTGGACTTTTATTGGATTTTTATATTAATAAAATACGTGGGCCGATAATATTACCATATGCTTAGTATTTCCATGCCAGCGATGCTCGTAACCTGCTCGATTTAAAAACAGCTATTTGAAACAAAGAGTCATGGAATCACAAAGGAAACTGTTAAGTACGTATTTCACACCTTTCCTAACGTCGGTTTATAACTAAAACCAGGCAAAACATTCAGTCTTTATAAGTCACTTTACTTTATTACTAGCACGTATTCTGCTGTTATAATTATTATTTTCAACCATTGTTGCGATAATATTTTCTAGCTCAAATATGGTACTTTTTGAATGAATGTTTCAAGGAAATAAAGGGTGTTATTTCATGTAACATTATCACAGCTTGGACCTCTGAACTCAATTGTGACCTCTGAACTCAATTGTGACCTATAACATTGATTGTTTGACCTCTTTTTGTTACAGACCAAGATTCTACAGAGGCTCAAAAGGAGACAGAAGGTAGATGCACATTTTATATTTATAGTAATATTTTTGTTAGATTTTGTAAATGGATGGTAGTTTTCAAAAAGTGTCAAAATCCCAAAAAATTTATATAATAATTTTGATTGTCTTTTTTAGAGGAGGAACCTGAAACTATAGAGGTGGAGAAAAATAAAGATGATGATGGAGATGCTGTTGACAGAGAGGAGGAGGAAGACGAAGAAGAGGAAGATGTGAAAGATACATGGGAGGATATTGAGTCAGAAGAGGAGCAAGTACAAGGTAAAAAAGTTGTATTGCATAATTATTGCTGAATATTTGCAAAATGTAAACGTGCATACATCACATATTACCAATTTATCCAAACACTGAATCACTTCACTTCACCCCTCCTGGAACATAGGCCATCGATGACAGTTCTCAAGCGTGTGTGGTCCTGTGCTGCAGTCTCAAGCTGTCCCCAGGTGGATCTTGAGCGCCTAACATCATCGTTGAGGTCACTCCGCCAGGTGTTTTTTGGCCTTCCACGTTTCGCTTTCCATGTGGATTCCATGTCAAGGCTTGTCTGGTGAGGTTGGATGGTTGCTTACGCAAAGTGTGGCCAATCCAACCCCATCTCCTCTGCTAGATCTCTTCCTCCATGGGAAGCTGCCTGGTTTGCTTCCAGAGCTCAAGGTTCCTGATCTTATCTGGCCAATAAATTTTTAGGATTGTCTGCAGGCATCTGTTTACAAAGGTCTGTACTTTGTGGGTTGTTGCCTTTGTGGTACGTCAAACACAGCATTAAAAATAACCATCCGCAGCTCTGTCAATTTGTAAATCAATAGTTTAGGAGATTACAAGTTTGTGAAATTAAATTCTGTTTTTACATTTTAGAAAAAGAAAAACCACAAAAGAAATCTTCCACGTCTAGTGTGAAAGTGAAGGATACTAAGCTGGTAGTGATGGATGAGAAGGAAAAACAGAGTAAAGAAGATGACAAAGAGGAGGATGACGAAGAAGAGGAGGAAGAGGATGAGAGTGGTAGTGAAGATGAAAGTGATGATGAGGACTCCGAGGAGGAATCAGAAGAGGAGTCTGAAGATGAGAGACCAGTGAAACGAGATAGCAGGGAAACTGCTTTAGATAGGATAGCGGTTAGTGATAAATTTATATGCATTGGATATTAGTACATCAAATAGTTGTGTTTAAAGATAAATGAATTTAACTGAAAAGATTCATGGAAATGTTTGCAGTAAAATCATTCACTACTAAGTGTCGGATACTGTAAATTTATGAGAAAACAAATTTTTACATAATTTGTAGCAGTGAAAATTTCTCTGGGACAAGACAACTTAGAGTTGTCGATGACATTTGCAAATTTTTTTCTTCACAAATGGCATAAAATCCTGAAATTGCAAAAATGACTAGCAGTGAAACGGTTTACAGTGATTTTTGTGACAAAATAGTAGGTCGTCATACAACCTTATTATCTTAGAGTGATTGTAAAATTACTAATCCTTGTCATGTACATAAAAATATCAACATCCTTCTTGGCTTGATTTGTTATATTAGCAATCC